CAAAAAAAAAAAAAAAAAGAAGTCAATGCTGGGCACGGTGGCTCATTTCTGTGATCCCAGCACTTGAGGAAGCCAAGGTGAGAGGATTGCTTGAGCCCATGAGTTCAAGACCAGTCTGGGCAACTTGGAGAGACCTTATCTCTATAATACACTAAGAAAAAAAAGTAGCCGGGCCTGGTGGTGCCTTCCTGTAGTTCCAGCTTTCCAGCTACTTGGAAGGCTGAGGCAGAAGGATCCCCTGAGCCCTGCAGGTCGAGACTGCAGTGGCCATGAGCACGTCCCTGCACTCCAGCCTGGGCCACAAGAGACTCTGACTCAAAAAAAAAAAAAGTGGTCATTTTTATCTTCATAAATGAATGTCACCGTTTTTCTTTAAGATTTTATCTTCATTGGTTTCAGCAATTTGTTTTTCTTTGTATTTATGCTGCTTGGGGCTCCTTAGGCTTTTTTTTCTTTTTTTTTGAGTTGGAGTCTCACTCTGTCACCCAGACTGGAGTGCAGTGGCCGCTGCCGGCCACCGCAGCCTCGACCTGCTGGGCTCTGGTGATCCTTCCGCCTCAGCCTTTAAGCTTTTCATATCTGTGGGATGGTCTCAAAGACATTTTAGGCAATTGTTTCTTTAAATTTTTTTTCTGCATAATCTTTCTTTGTGGGACCTTATTGTCCCAGGAGACCACTGAAGCTCTGTTTTTTATGGGTTTTTTTGAGTCAGAGTCTTACTCTGTCGCCCAGGTTGTAGTGCAGTGGCACGCTCACAGCCACCAACAGCCTCAACTTGCTGGGCTCAAGCCATCCTTCCGCCTCAGCCTTCCAAGTAGTCGGAACTACAGGCACGTGCTGCCATACCTGGCTAATTTTTCCTGATTTATTATAGAGATGAGGTCTCGCCAAGCTGCCCAGGCTGGTCTCAAACCGCTGGCCTCAGGTGGTCCTCTCGCCTTGGCTTCCCAAAGTGTGGGATTACAGGCGTGAGCCAGCACACCCGGCCTGAATTTCCGTTATTTATTTATTTATGTATTTTTTGAGTTGGAGTCTCACTCTGTCACCCAGACTGGAGTGCAGTGGCTGCTGCCGGCCACCGCAACCTCAACCTGCTGGGCTCCAGCAATCCTTCCACCTTAGCCTTCCGAGTAGCTGGAACTACAGGCGCGCACTACCATGCCCGGCTCTTTGGTTTATTGTAGAGATGAGGTCTCGCCAAGTTGCCCAGGCGGGTCTTGAACCTGCGGGCTCATTTTTTAAAAGTTATCATTCTCTCCCATCTGTTCAACCATGATGTCTGTCTTTTCCTTTAAATCTTGAAACATAACCACTTTGCATTTTTTGTGTGAAATGAAACACTGGTTTCATTGTGGGTCTATTCCTTGTTACTCCCCTTCCATTTTTCTGCCGTTTTGCTAGTATCTTACTGTAAGCTGGACATTGTGGATTCTGCCTTGTTGAGAGTTCGGATTGTACTGTCTTCCTTTAAAGTGTCTTGGGTTTTGTTCTCGTGCTGGGTCAGCTTGACCGATTCAAGGTGTGCTTTTAGTCCTCCTTCGGGCAGCTTTGCGGCACTGCAGAAGCGCCAGTGTTAGAGCACGCCTTCCACAGGCATGGCCTTTCCTGGGTTTCAGTGGACGTTTCCGCGTCTCTGGCTGTTTGGAGTGCCTCTTCCAGGGTTGTGCCGCCTCTGGAATGGGATTCGGCTCACAGCTGCTGGGGCACTGTTCTCTGCCAGGCCTTGGGGCAAGAGCATGGCAGCCTCCAGGAGCCACGTGTGCAGATCCGTGGAGCCCTTCTCCGAGGCAGTCCCCTCCTGCTCTAGGTGGCAGAACCAGGCTGCCCCGCAGGTCCACCTGCACGACGCCCCGGCTTCCCATCTCTGCCCCTCAGCCCAGCAGGCCTCCCTGAACTGTGGCCAGTGTGGTGGTCACAGAGTGGTCATGGGGCTCGCTCCATGCGGTCTGGCGTCTCAGGGTCTCGGGGCTTCACCGCCTCCTGCCCGACATGGGAAAAACGACTGCTTCCTATTCTTGTCCTTTTCTAGTTGTGTGTGAGGAGAGGGCTGGCTAGAAGTGGAAGTCTCTGGTAGTTGTGCTGCTGCGTGTGTGTTTCTTTTGAGTCAAGGTTTCACTCTCTCTGTCACTCAGGCTGGAGTGCAGTGGCATAGTCATGGCACAGTGTGGTCTGGACCTCCTGGGCTCAGGCAGTCCTCATACACCAGCCTCCAAAGTAATGGGGGCTACAGGTGTGCACCACCACATCCAGCTAAATTTTTTTTGTAGAGGCGGTCTTGCTCTGTTGTCCAGGCTGGTTTTGAGCTCCTGGACTCAAGCAGTCCTCCCACCTTGACCTCCCAAAGTGCTGAGATGACCGGTGTGAGCCACTGTGCCCGGCCTCATTGTTACTCTGAGAGAGCTCGTCTCGTCTTATGGCTGGTTTTGGGATTTCTCTGTTTTTTGGCAGTTTTGTGTGGCGTTTTGGACTGGGATGTTGGTGTGATTGATTCATCCTGTTTGGGGTCTGTAGTGATTCTTGATGAAGCTGTTTCGGTGCCTCCGGTTAGTTTGGGAAATTTTCAGCTTCTATCTCCAAACGTTCATCTTGCCCATTCCCCCCCTCCCTTTCCCGCATCCCTCTATCCCAGTCAGGTGTGTCCAGTCTTTTCATCGTCTCTTTCCTACATTTTCCCTCCTTCTGCATGTTTCTTCCGAATAACTTTCAGTTCCCCACTCTGCAGGAGCTTCAGCGGCTGGAGACAGAGCTGGGGCGCCCTTCTGAGCGCTGGAAGGACACCTGGGACCGGGTGAAGGCTGCACAGCGCCTGGAAAGCCGGCCAGACGGACGTGTGAGCAGGGTGGGGTGGCCGGGGTGGGCGGCCGGCGGGCGTGTTGCTGGGAGGGGGTGAGTCTGCCCGGCCCTGACGCAGGCCCTGCCCCTCTGCCTCCAGGGCACCCCCAGCTCCTTACTGGTGTCCAGCGTGCCCCACCACCGCCGCTCGCTGGGCGTGTACCTGCAGGAAGGGCCTGTGGGCTCCACCCTGAGCCTCAGCCTGGACAGCGACCAGAGTAGCGGCTCAACTGCGTCCGGCCCCCGCCAGGCTGCCCGCCGCAGCACCAGCACCCTGTACAGCCAGTTCCAGACGGCTGAGAGTGAGAACAGGTGTGAGGCACCGCCCGCCTCTGCCAGACCCCTCTGACCTGGGGCTCTGGGTTCTCTGGTGGGCACGGTGCCTTTGAGGCGCTCATGTCACCCTTGGGCTGGGAGGGTCTGGGGGGAAGCCAGTGGCGGCCCCAGCAGAAGCCCACGTTGGAGGGCGACCGCAGCCAGCCTGCAGCAGTGGGAGGAAGGTGGCTGGGGGCCGTGAGGCCAGGGCCTGGAGGAGCTGCGTTGCGAGGCCGCCCCCGGCCTGCGGCTGCGAGGGCCCCTTCTTGAGCACCTGTCCTGCGTGTGGGCTGCTGCCCGAGGCCCCAGGACTCCTGCTGGGACACTGCCTGGGCCTGTGGCGGGGGTGGGGGCACCCCCTCACTGTCTCCTTTCTGGGGGCCGTTTCCCTTCTGGGCCTGTGGTCCCACAGCTGGCTAGTGCTCTGGCCTGCGGCCCCTGCTGGGCCAGGCGCTGGGGTCTCGCCGTGAGCTGGGCGGCGGGGGAGGGCAGCTGCTGGGCCCGGCCCCAGCTCTGCTGCCCGCGCAGGTCCTACGAAGGCACTCTGTACAAGAAGGGAGCCTTCATGAAGCCTTGGAAGGCCCGCTGGTTTGTGCTGGACAAGACCAAGCACCAGGTGAGTAGTCGCTGAGGGGCGGGGGCTGGGAGGGAGGGGCCGCCCTGACTCTGGCCCCGTCTAGCTGCGCTACTACGACCACCGCGTGGACACGGACTGCAAGGGTGTCATTGACCTGGCGGAGGTGGAGGCCGTGGCCCCCGGCACACCCACCATGGGCGCCCCCAAGACCGTGGACGAGAAGGCCTTCTTTGATGTGAGCCCGGGGCACAGGAGACGCGTGGGAGGGGGCGCTGCGGCGTGGGGGCCCGGAGTCAGCGATCCGCCTGTCCCCAGGTGAAGACGACGCGCCGCGTTTACAACTTCTGTGCCCAGGACGTGCCCTCGGCCCAGCAGTGGGTGGACCGAATCCAGAGCTGCCTGTCGGACGCCTGAGCCCGGCCCTCCCGGCTGTGCCGCTTCCAGTCGTTCCGGACCACTAGGGGTGGGCAGGCCGCCCCGGCCATGTTTACAGCCCCGGCCCTCGACAGTATTGAGGCCCTGAGCCCCAAGCACTTGTGTGTACAGCCCCGCCCCCGCCCCCGGCCGGCCGGCCCTAACTTATTTTGGCGTCCCGGCTGAGCACCGTGCCGGGTGGCGGCCATGGTACAGCCCGAGAGGGCCTGTAAATAGTCCCGCCTCGTCAGTGTGTTGGCCCCGGCCGGCCGGCCGCAGGCGAACTGTTTCTAGAACCAGAGTCTATATAAAGAGAACTAACGACGCGCTCGTGTGCTTGCTTGCCTTCCCAGACCCAGAGGGTCTGTTCTGCGTCCCTGTCTCATACCCAGGTCTGGCAGGGCGGTAGGGGGTGGCGTCCTCGTGAGCCTTGCCTGGGACCTGGGCCCACCCAGCTTCCAGCTTCTGTGGCCCTGGGAGCCGGGCTCTCTCAGGCCCTTGCCTGGGGCACGGTGCCTTCGTTCTCCCAGGCCTCGGTGGTCTTGGGGCTGGCCTGGCTGGAGAGGAAGGCCCCGCCCCCACCCTGGGAGGCAGACCGCATTGAGGCTGTGCTGGCGTGTGGCAACGAGGCAGTCGCTTGCCTCCAAGAGGCTGTTCCCGGTTCCGAGAACAGCCAAGGCGGAGGGCTGGTCTGGGGAGGGTGGGCTCTCAGTGGAGCGAGGGGCCAGCACCCACACAAGCCTGGCTCCTCGGCCTGGGGAATTTGGCCCCACCCAGCCTTTCCCTGGGGTCTCGCCTCCCATCCCAGCTGGCGTGTCACGTGGGGGCTGCCACGGGCTCTTGGTCACCACACTCCTTCCCAGCCCAGGACCAGGCTTCACTCGCTTGACGTCTGTGTGTCTGCCCACAACAGGCCCCAGCAGGGGCAGGGCTGGCAGAAGGTGAGGAGCATGGGGGGGGGGCGCCTGGCGGGGGCGGGTGGCTGGCACGGATCAGAAGCAAGCAGCAGGCAGGGGCTGGGAAGGTTCTGGCGATGGTGTGTGGGGACAGGGCCCGGGCCTCTGGGGGGGAGCTGTGCAGCAGGATGGCCTGGCTTTAGACTGCGTGCGGCCCCGCAAGCCCTCCTGCCCCCAGTTGGTGCTGGGATACCTTGGGGCGAGGTGGGGCCCCTGAGGCCCCCAGGTCTTTCCTGTGGCCAAGCAGATGACCCTGACCAAGGCTCTTCATGCCCACAAAGCCCGTGGGCAGAAACCACAAGAAGGGGCAACCCCCTCGGGTCCCCTCCCGCTGTGGAGCTTTTCTGTCCTCCCAATAAATCCTGCTGTAGAAAAAACTAGAGGAAGGGCTGGATCTCCCCATCTTGCGTCTGTGAGGGAAGCAGCGTGGACCAGCTGCACAAGACAAACACCGGGGCGGGCCGAGGGCAGTGCAGGTTGTGGAGTGCCAGGCGGCAGCCGAGTCTTTGCCTTAGGCCGTGGCAGGAAGGAGGCTCACTTCGGGGACAAGCCCTCGGCTCAGCCAGGGGACGAGGTGGGGCCCAGGCTTCCAGGAGGGCAGGGGGAGGGGCTCCACGGGGCACAGCACCCTTGGGCCTCTCATCCCGGGCCCGACCCGCCATGACCCGAGCTTCAGGTCGTGCTTTTCCGAAACAGAAAGGCTCAGGGTTTTCTCAGACCCAGAGACCTGCTACTGTGCCAGGGCCTGGGGGCTGAGCGAGCGAGGTGCTGGGGAGACACGGCCACCCAGCCACATCGGAGCTCTGAGCCTGCCGCTTCACACGACACGGTTTGTCAGTTAAGAGCGAAACAGCTTTTATTGGGAGTTGAGTTTCGGGTGCCCTGTCGGATAGTCAGAACATCGAAAATGGTCTCAACATAAAACAACCTCTCGGACCCTTCCAGAACGACATGGCCCTGTCCAGCACTGTCCGAAGTCAGTCTCTGAGCCCCCAGTGTCCCATCGTGGCCCCCACACCCACACATTCTGGCCAACCCCTGCCAGGCCCCCTAACCACCCACCCCCAAGTGTGCTAGCCTGGGCTGCTGGGCACAAGGGATGCCCTCGCCAGGTCGGGAGGGTCTTGTGTTTTTAAGGCAGTCACATCTTATAGCCGGGTTCCATGCAGCCCCGAGGCCACTGGGCGCCTACAGCCCCAGGCTCTGAGACCCTTCCGGCCAAACAGCTCCTGGCCAACCCCTACTGGGACCAGATCTCCCCAGCCCAGGCCCTCAATCTGACCTGAGCTGGGAGCTGCTGCAGCTGGACACAAAGTGCAAAAAAACGCGGCTCTCCCCGTGTTCACTTTTAAAAAACCAGTAAAAACAGCCTCGGCATCTGTGCCCCTCCTGGCCTGCTGGGTCCTGGTGGCATCTCAGGGCCGTGGCACCCTGCTACTGCAGGCAGAGGCTGCACGTCTGAGACCTTATTGCTGTGCTCGAGGCCCGGGGGGCGGCCAGGGGGCGTCCTCTGTCCCTCTGCAGGCCTGAGCAGCCTGAGGCCCACGCGGGCGGGCAGGTGAGAGCTGGGCCGTCTAACGGGTTCCAACTGCCAGCTTTACAAACAATGCAGCATTTATTTTAAGATTAAATTAAATAGGAAACACAAATTGCATCACCAGGTAGTTTTCTTGATTAAGGATGCAGCCTGACCAGGGCGGGCCGTGGCCGGGCGGCAGCAGCATCACACGGGGCCGTTTAAGGCAGCGCCTTCTGGAGGGGCATCTGTCTTCCTGTGGGAACAGGGTGAGGTTGGAGCTACCTGGGCTGGGGCTTCACCGGCCTCCCGCCCGCCTTGTCCAGCCTGCTCACCCATCCTTTGCCACTGTCCCCGAGGCAGCCACCAAGGCTGGGGCTATGGTGACCGCCACGGCCACTGTAGAAGAGACTGCTGGGGTGTACACAGGAGGGCCAGGCCTGCTCAGTGCTGTGGTGGTGGCCACTGTAGCCTTGAGGGGTGCAGCCACGGCCGGGGAGGGAGTTACGTCCACAGGTGCATGGCAGGCAGGGTCTGGCAGCGTTCTGTCGGCACATGCGGCCCTGTGTGGCAGACGTGGCCTCTGGTGACAGGCACCCCCACCCCCAGGACCGTCCCACTCGCGTCCAGGGCGCACCTGCACCAGGCCCCTCCTGTCCTTGCCCGCTGTGGGGGCCCCAGGAGCCATGCCAGGCTGGGTCACCGTGCGGCCCTGAGCCCCACGCCAGGCTGCTCATCCAGCACGCCCCGCCTCCAGGCCGCCATGACACGTGTTAGTTGTGAAGCGCTGTGTGCTCCGAGGGCCCAGGCCTACTGCGTGATGCCATCTCCAGCCGGACGGGGTCGTGGGGTGGGAGCCAGGTTGGGGGCAGGGGAGAAAGGCCCTTGCCAGGTGGTGGGACACCCCAAGCCCAGTCCGGCCTCCAGTTGCAGGTGGGCCCTCTGGCTTCCTGCAGGGCGAGACGGAGGCCTCTGGCCCAGGCAGGACACTCAGGAGTGGGCCTGCAAGTTGCGCTGAGCTCACAGCCTGGCTGGAGATACTGGAGCCCTCGTGTCATACGGTCTCCCGGACCCCTGGGGGTTGATGGGTGAAGCTTTCTGAGGTGTCAGATTAGTCCCACCTGCTGGGGGGGGGCAGGCCAAGACACATGGGTCGAGTCACACTGGGCAATGAGGCCAGGGCACCCCCAGTTGGGCCCTGCCCAGCCCTGGCGCCAGGAGCCATCAGGGAGGTACCGCGTCACTAGGACGGATCTTCACCAGAGCAGATGCAGTCTTCACTGGACGCACGGCCTGGCCTGAGTGCCTCGGGCCCTTCTGGGAGTACCACCCAGGGGCTTGTCACTGTCCCCTGAGCCAGCCAGAAGTTCCGTGCTGGGTGCAACCTCTGTGCTCCTTCAAGCCCAGCCCCACCTCCCTCGGGGATACCTGGCCCTGGAACCTGCCCAGCCGACTGGCCCCCCTGCAGCCCGTCCTGTCCCGTGGCGGCACCCAGATCCTCTGGCTGACGTGCGCCCGTGCCCGCCCCAAGGCCAGATGGGATCTGCCTATCCCCACGACGGGCCCCAGGGCCTTTTCCTGCAGGGAGGTGCGTGGGTTGGGCTTGCTGAGGAGTCCCTCTCCACTCCCTTCCAGGGACAGCTCTCTTGGGCATGAGGGAGCCCGGCCTCTGTCCACCTGCAAGTGTCTCCAGCTCACAGCTGGGGTTCTGACGTCCCAAGCACGGTCCCGAGATGCCCCACTCTACTGTCCACACACGACAAGCATTTCTGAGGTTCTGAGGCTCTGAGGCTCCGAGGCTCCGGGGCTCCGGGGCTCCGGGGCTACGGGGCTACGGGGCTGAGGCGCACACACGCGTCTCGGAAACACCGCAGGCCTCCCAGGGGAAGGAGGCAGCCCCGAGGTCTGGGCAAACCCACAGATGCATGCCTGCCCCGTGCCTCTCCCCAGATGCCAGGTAGCTCCGCCAGACCCCGAGGCCCGAACTGGGCTGTTCTCTCCATTAGGAGCCTCTGGTGGGAGCCGCCCTGTCTTCCTGTCACCATCACTCATGACAGAGAACACCTGTGCCATCACAGATGGAAGTCCAGCCCCCCCATCTGGCCTTCGGGTAAATGCAGGGATCCCCCCGGAGCTGGGCAGCCTCAGCAGGGCCACAGGGCCATGAGGAGAAGCAGGTGGAGATCCCGGCCGGGGAACGGCCCTGACGGCCATGCCATGTGCACGCACCCCCGCACGCCCGCCAACACCAGCCTCCTCTGACCTGGCTGCTTCCGGCAGCGGGCTGGCCTCCTGGCCAGGACCCCTGCTCCCAGCTCCCGTGGCACCGCCTGCCTTCTGCTCCTCCTCCTCGCTGTCGGAGGCCACCAGGGGGGCCTTCCTGGTGACACACACGTTCCAGGCACAAGGCGGGGGCGGACCTGGGTCAACTGCAAGGCAGGAGGAGTCTGTGATGGCAGAGGGGCCACAGTGCAGCCACCATGACCTCAGGGCACCCCCGCCTGCATGGGCCAGTATGTGGTGTGTGTAGACTCTCCCCCACAGCCTGCCATGCCACCTGCACACGTGTGTGGTGTGCATGTGTGCTCTCTGAAGGACAGACAGGGCAGCGGGCTCCCTGCCGTGTGCCCTCCACATGGTCCTTGCTGTCCCCATACCCATGGGGCAGGGCAAAGTGCCCCATCTCAGACAAGGAGGCAGAGGCTCAGAGAGGGCCCCACTAGGCTTCATGTGGCCCTGTCACACGCCCTTCAAACCCCAAGGGCCCTGGAACCAGGACGGAGTGTCCGGAGCCACCTGATGCCTACCTGGTCTCTTAGCCTGGCCCGGGGGCTTCTGAGCCCTACGGGGGCTGCAGACCAGGAGCTTGCATCATGCCCCAGGATAACTTCTGACAGACAGCCCACACACCCCTCTCTATGCTGGGATCCCGACGCTGCTCCCCAGAACCCAGGAAAGACCGGTTCCCAGGGCGGCCCACAGCAGCTGGACAGCCTTGTTGCCCCCTCGCCTGCAGGGCTGGGGCCACAGCTGCTCGAGGCCCGCAGGCAGACACAGCCCCCATCACCACTGAGGCGTGGTCGCATCTGGGCTCAGCCACTGTCTCCCGCTGTCCAAGGGGAGCTGCCTGCCTCGGGCCAGGACCCCACAGGAGCTGGGAGTGCAGCCTCCTACTCACAGGCCTTCTCCAGGCTCGGGCTCGGGCTGCCCCCAGCACGGCCACGCTCTGTGTCCACGGGAGAGCTGCACCTGGGCCCGGATTCGGAGCTGCCAACGGGGATGAGGACAGGGTGAGTCTTGCGGGGCCGGCACCTCCGGTCCTGGCAGGCACCTCCTGGCACGGCCCCCGCCATGCCACTGCGCTTGCTTACCAGCAGAAAGGCTGGAAGTCGGTGAACTTGGCCCAGCCTTTCTCCTCCGGAGCTGAGGTGCCAGCAGCCCACACGCTGGAGCCCACATCCCTAGCCACACCTGGGGCCGTGGGGGTTGAGTTCACGGGCTCATCAAACACAGCCGTCCATGCAGTCCCTGCTGGCGAGACCCAGTGGTCAGGTGGGGGGGGATTCACCCACACCGCTGATGACCAGCCGAGCCCCTGTGGGCCCCCTCAGGCAGGGCTGATGCTGGGGAAGGGACACGGCTGCCCTCACGCTCTGTCCGCTGTGTCCTGACCCGCGCTGGGTCTGACGGAGGCAGCACAGCTTCCCAAGCACTGCCTCTCCCTGGCCTCACTCTGGCTGCCTTCCGCGTATCCTCACCTCCCTGCGTCCCCCCAAGGCTCGCAGCTCTGGCTCTTATCGTCCACCTCAGCTGAGGGCCCAGCACCTCGCTCAAGTCCTGAGAACTCAGTGCCGCCCCCAGGACACAGCCAGCAGAGGGGCTCCTGCGAGGTGGCGCCTGTGGATGGCCTGGCTCCTGCCCTGCACCCCCAGTGTGAAGGTGGCAG